ACTTTCTGAAGAGAGGTCTCATTGATGAGAGTAACAGCTGAGCCAGTGTCGATTTCAAACTTCACGGGATGGTGATCAACCGGAAGCGTGATGGTGTAGGGGGATTGGAGAGTAGCGTTGGCCGGAAACATTCGGAGTATCGTCTCCCCATCCCCAGCTGGACTAGGGTAGGTCGCATGCGTGTTACTATTCGCTCGTCTTTTGGAGAAACACACTCGTTCGATGTGGCCGACTTTCTTGCAAAACTGGCATACCGTCTTCTGGTGTCTACAGTCTGACCACCGGATATGATGCTGGCCACAACGGTAGCATGATGGTAGTTGTTTTGAGGGAGCTGACGGTATCTGTCTAGGTGAAGACACAGCAGTGTTGACCAGGGAGACAGCCATTTCCGACTCCAAGGATGCTATCACTCCATCGTTTGACTGATTCAGCTGCTGAAGGTTTTGTCGCACGCGCTCCTGATGACTGGCAATATCACAGGCTTTCTCCCATGACAAATCCTTCTTCTCTGATAAGAGATTTTCCCGAGCTTTTTCATCGCGTAGACCGACGATCAACTGCTGAACGGGCATTGCGTGCTCGAAGTTGTCTGCCTTGATCTCTTTATACCCACAGTCCTGAATGGCCAGAGTCAGATTAGTAATAAAATCACTGACACATTGATTGGATTCTTGACGCATTTGACAAAACCGATAGCGACTGAGAAAGACGTTGTCCTTTCCTCCCCACGCTGACTCGAGTTTTGAGAAGGCTGTTAGGAGATCTGTAGCCTTTTGTAGATTGAGGGCATCGAAATATCGTTGTCCCAACTCTCCGAGATTCGTCCGGAGGAGTTTCAACTTAGATGGGACGTCTAGTACAATCGTGGGTGACAAAATCGGGAGTAGTTCAATATAATCCTCAAATGTCTTCCTCCATTGCAACCACGAGTCATTTGAGGGCTTCAGGGTGTTCTTTGGCCAAAAAGGTAGCGGTGTAGGCAGCAATGAAGACATGTTCGTTAGACTGCGTCGCCAATGTTATGTATGCAAAACAGAAGGCTAATTGGAAATAGGACGTGTACTGAGTACGATAGACAGCACATGTGAGGAGGCTTGTGGAAACGGCCGGGTATATGGCAAGGGGGACTGTCATAGGCTGATGGGTGGCCAATCAGCACAAAGACGGTGTGAGCAGGGGGCCATGACCCTGATCGTTCGCTTGTCACGCGTTTGTGGCATGATGTCCTGACGGCCCGGGCAGGATACGCTGCATCCTCCATTTGCTAGGGGGAGTTGTTAGTCAAATAAGGGCCAAACTACAGGGGATTCCAATACACCTGCATTGGACAGGTAAAATCTGGCAGTTAACGGTGCACCATCTTCCTTCGTCTGTTAACTAATAAGTCTCACACTCGACCTCCCTCTGTCAGAGCATGTAAAGAAACCGATGAGATTTGGAGAGAAGCAGAGAGCCATTTGCTAGAATCAGGTATTTACGAAAGAATTCTCTAATATTGACGAAGTGTATTCCTGTGCAACTCTCGGTAAGAGTGACCATACTACGTTACTGTGAGCCTACTTGCTCTAATTCCTACACCAGATAGAAGCGGAGGGTCAGCAAAACATATGGAACATTTTCGCATGGTGAAGAACAAATTGATTTCAGTGAATTGGGGCCATTTGCTTAAGATGGATTTGCGGTCTGACTGGAGATAGTCTAAGACAATTTGATTAGGTCTGTTTTTGTGTTGTTGTCCCGCGAAAGTACAAAAACGACTATTCGCCCTGTCTGGTTAACAAACAGACAAGGAAGAAAAATAAAAATAGGGGGATATTCAGGGAAACTGGGTCAACAAACCACCTCAATAAGTCTTGGCGTCAGCAAAATTCGGTCAAGAAATGCTTCCGTCGGATAAAGAAGGAATTTGAACCCAGAGTTATATGGCAAGCTGGGCAAACTCCAAAATTTTATTCCATTATGTTAATAGTCGACTGGAAAACAAGGACTCAGTCGGCGTACTTAAGGATGAGTATGGTGTAAAAGTCGTTGAAGACGGCGAGAAAGCTTAATACTTGCGTCGGTTCTTCACCCCAGTGTTCACTAAGGAAACTGAGTTTCAGAATCGCAATGTCAACAGTGCTGTGGTTACCATCAGTCCCGAGTTTGAATCCGTACTTTTCCCGGCATCTGTCGTGGAAGGAAAACTACGGAATCACAAAGAAGGAAAGTCTTCGAGTCCGGGCAACTTACCAACCTAATTCTTGAGAGGATTGGCGAACGAACTCTCCAAGTCACTAACACAAATCTTTCATTCGTCAGTTAAATTAAAAAGATTGTCATTCGAATGGAAGACAGCAAATACCCACCCAGTGTACGAGGGTGAGGCTCGCATTAATGTCAATAGTTATCAGTTCACCAGCCCAACTACATTTACTGTACATTAATAGAAACCATATTTCAGAAAACAACAGTGAACCTGCTGGTGGGGAACTGCTTTATCTCAGGGGCCCAGCACGGCTTTAGTTAGAACCGCTGTTGTTTCTCGAGTTATTGTTCTCGACTCAGCAGTGGACTCGCGCACTGTGCGAGGATTTTAAGATCGACGTCATCTACAAGGATTTCAAGTAGGCGCTCGACAGCGTCCCACACTAATGCCTAATCTATAAACTATCTGAAACTGAAATAAGGGAAAAGCGACTGACAAAGATCGCAGATTTCCCCACATGTGGACCGTACACCGTGTACGTTGATGCCTCAAAATCAACCTCTACTCGCATTTTAAGTGGTGTCTCCTGGGACTCAGTGTTAGGGTCTTTGCTTATCCTAACCTCCATCAACGACTGTGTCGACGACCTGGGATGCAGCGCTGTCCTGTTTGCTGACGATGTTAGAATGTGGAGAGCCATCAGGCACGCGCCCCAAGAGAGTCTCGACCGACCTAGCAGTTGGTCTGCTCCTCTGCTCTTGCACTTTAACGTTCGTAAGTTTGCGGTCCGGAGACTTCGTATCAGGAAAACCAGAGAGGAGGGTGATTCCTTTCGATACCTCCTTGATATACAGCATTTTTCGAATGGTGGGGAACAAAAAAGACCTCCGCATCCCTTTGACCTACTCGCTTAAATCATCCTCACAGTGCATAGAGGTAGCTCAACGCGCGACTCAGGTATTTTTCTCTCCAACGGCTACTGCTATAACACCCGGAGAGATTTCGATAAAGTAAAGTTTTAGTTCGTCAAATTTCGTTATGAGGCTCTGGGTATTTGTATGCAAGCACTTCACTTTTGCGCTGGCCGAATTTCCGACTGCATTTTTCACAGTTGTGGGTGTTTCTGCGTTGTCTTGGAAGTCATCTTCCCCATCCTGTCCCGCTGCTTAATAAGTTCTCTTAAGGTTTGTTTCTTCGGTCAGAATACTGGGCGTTAAGGGCTAACCTATGCTGTCTCTTCGAGCAGTTAATTCCACGATAGTGTCTGCGCTAGCTGACTACCTGCTGCCGTTCTAAGTAGTACTGGCCGGTTCAGCTGAAGCGGCATATCTTTCTGAACTATTTTTCTGTTGAGGATAGCCAGGCTATTTTCGCCACGCTTCAGTTTCGATTTCGATTCAGAGGCAAGTTTCCGGCGTCTCAGCCGTTCCCATGGAGAGTAGCCTGTCTGAAAAGTCTGTTTATGACAGTTCTTGAGATTGGCTTTTTTTGAACAGAGTCAAATTGATTTGCTCTTTGTTCTTCCGTATAATTTTGAGAGGACGAGGTGATACTGCTGTTGTCCTACTTTCCCGACCCAAAATGTTTTCGGAATTTTCATTTCCGCCTCTGCCTGTAATAATTGGTTTATGAGGCCACGAAAAGATGCAAGATTCTCCGAGACAGGATCTTCAGGGCTGACTGCATTTGATTCACACAAGCCATGAACAACCAAATACTGTTAGAGTCTCGGTACTCTATATTTTGTTTTTCTGAAGAGTTCTGTGTGTGAGGACAAGAATGATTTACGGTGTCCCGCTTGGATTAAACTTTTACTGTCGACTAAATGTCCCAGAAACCCATCAGGACTGGTTGTGGCTTCATACTCCTGCTATGACCTTTTCCCTTCTCCGCTACCCAAAAGTTCCTGTCTCCGCACTCAAATTTGTGCTCTATAAAGCATTTAGGGTGGTTATGAGAACAAGAGGGCAAAGGTAGATTGAAGGACCGAGATATATCGTCCCTTGGCAAACGGGAACTCCCGCAGTTTGCAGAAAGAGGTGAAGACGAGTTGGCTTCCGCGAAGGTAATATTTTTGTGTCATCGCTTAGATCATCTTGCGTAGAAATCGGGTCCGCCTTTGTTAGTGACTTCGTTACCAAGTGGGGTTACCAACCTCGTCGCAGTAACTGAGCGGCAGGCGTTGTAAAGTTTTTCAAATATGTTCGGTATTTCTTCAGTCAGTATTATGTTAGATGCAGCATGTGCGACAGGTGACGCTTTGGCAGACGACTACCAGTTTGATAGCCTGTTTTCGGGCCTAAAGTCAGGCGGCGCCAAGTTCTTTAACGTTCCCCGTGAATGGTTTTAGAAGAGCTGACCTAACTTTCTGACCAACTAACACGGCCACACATACGCGCATTCAGACAAGTAAATCTTTCCACGTGTAATTTGGGCACACCACCCCTGGGCCAATGCAAGGTGGACCGCTGCACACGTCAACCTCCAGAAAGTGGAACACTACAGTTTGACTGATGCAAGTGATGGCCTTACTGCGTGTTCAGAGGAGTCGGCGTAAGGGATTCTTACGAGGCTTGCGGGAACTATTGAAGTCGACAGACAACCCTTTTTATAAACAAAATCAATCAAACAAATCAGACTCGTTTGTGAATGTATAAGAGCAAAGGGCTTGTAGATCAATGTACAGGGAAAATGCAGTCGAAGCATATCAACAATAAGGATACGTTTCTGAAATTTCGGAAGCTTTCGCGGGCATCTATCACCAAAATGATAATAGGTGTTAGCTTTTACCACATGCCGATCCCTCCAACATCCAATCAGCAGGTCAAAATGAACTCATTGGGCGGACGAATTTCTGGACTCTCGATCACCAGATAATATATAGGTGTTTCCTACGTTATACCTACAATGCGTGGTCTCTTATCCTCGAGCTATGCTCATGGCTTAGTCGTCATCGCTGTGAAAACACATGCGACTGTTCTAGATCGGGGTTTCGAGGTGAAGAAAAAAGGGCCCTTCATAATTACAATCCGGAAAGATCGGTTAACCCGCTGCCGTCGTTCCACTGTCTATAGGAGATTGAGTGCCCTAGTGCTCTAGTGTCATATGTATAGCCCTCTGGAACGAACCCAAAGGTCAATACGAAGGCGGCTCAAGGAAAGTTAGACTCTAGCAGCTACTATGTACTCAACGTACTATATAAAATAAGAAACTAAAGGGGACCTAATTAAAAAAATAAACTAGAGCAGGGCGTGATTGTCCAGAGGAGGTTGGCGGAGAGCGAAGGGATTCGATGAAGACGGCGACAGAGGTCCACGTTCGAAGGACGGCGGCCTGCCACGGAGTTGCTGGAGTTTAATCCACGCCCGCATTTATAGCATCTCCAGGCGCCAAGGTTTAATCCACCATTGTTGATTGGTTGGGGTAGGTTTAGGGACGAGAGTTAGGTAAACTTAAGCTAGAGCCGTTCCCATTAATTTTCGGCTGCATTAATTTATTATATGCACACTTTTTATAAGAAGCTAAATTGCGACTAAGCACCTGTAGTATATACACAAAAAAGTTTGGCGCGTGCGCCCCCCTATAGGGGCGCACCATCTAGAACTTCCTACAAGGTGGCGGCGCATGGGTTAGCTTCTAGAACTTCCTACACCACCACTCCTCGCCGAGAGATCAACTTCCCCCGGAATTGATTTCACATGACTATGGGTTTCAGTACAATCCCTGCTGGCACATGGCTCTACCCTAAGGTAGGGGTCGAAGTTGGGTAGAGAGGATCGATCAGAGATGGACGAGACAACGAAACGGTCCGAGGTGTCGTTCGTCTTTCATTTTTAGCACGACTGGTTAATAGCACTATGAGGTTTTGCCGCAAAAATGTTGTAGGTGCGCTCCTTGGGCAGATCATATTTCAGGTACAATCGCGCAGGCGAACTATTTCCCGTTATCAATTTTCGAAGTAGTACGATAGACTGGATTGCCTGTCGAAATATCAGCAGTTGTCCCCCTCCATCGGCATATACATGGCGGTGTCGACGAACAGGATTTCAGCAGGCAGCCCAGTTCATCCGGGCTATTCGAAAACAAATAACGGGAATTTGTTCAGTTGCGTAATTGTTTCTAATGGATGTCCTACTCACTCTATTTGTACTGCAAAATTTGAGATGTATTATTCTTTGAACCAAAAGCAAATAGCAAACGGCCCCTTGGATTGGACTATGGGACAGATAGGAAGTTCCACCATTATTTCTGAAATACTTAGACAATAAACAAACGATCCTGGCGCTACATAGGAAAGCTTATTCATGTAGTTTATGAAAAAGACAACGAAACAGTGAATTATGTAGAAAAGGACCACTCGTCAGCCCAGAATTGATCTAGTTAAGACTGGTTCTGCGCTAAGTTTGGTAAAAGTATCCCGCTGGTCTACTTATAAAATATGTTCACCGCAATTGGTCGATTAAAGAAAAAGGAGGGAATGGAGTGCGTTCTGACACCACAAATGTTCTAACTATGCGAATTGAACAAACTAATTATTTAAACATTGCCTAACTCCAGACAGAGCTAAACTAATACGATAATTAAGGTGGCGAGTGTTAATTTGAACTTAGATCATCACCAGCATCGGTTGGTGTTTTGTTTGTGTGAAGTGATGCAAAGGGGGATATGGTGTCCAGCTGTAACGCCCCTGGACTTGGACAGAGTTGTTCGAATGAGGTGACACTTTTTGCGCGAGGACCTAGGGTGGAGATGGCGTAGGCGCGTGTCGGTGAAGATAACCGGTGTCCCTCCCTCTCTCTTCTGCCGATCCCTTTCCCCCTCGTCGTACCGTAACGTATCGTCCGAACCGCTTGCCTCATCGCTACATCGGCACTCCCTCGACCCTTCCCTGCAGTTGCCCCCAGCGCTGCGCTCCCCACCGGTTTACTAGCTGGCATGTTGGCATCGTCTCTCCACCCAGACAGGTCATTCTACCGATGTAACCGTCCTACTTGTACTATTAACGATTATTATACGATTCCCCGTGCAACCTCGTATTATTACACTTTACCTCTTATTTGACATGCCTTCTTCTTCTGTGTATGGATGTGTATCAAGGAATGCTAACAGCTCCGTTCAGGTCTATCCCGGCCAAGAGTCCTTCTCGGCGTTCCCTTACTCCGGTGTGTGCTACCCTTGACGTCCTCGGCCGCTACATTGGTGGCAGCGGTGGGATGGAGAGGAGCACACACCTCCCACCCTCCCAAGCTCCAACTCCAGCAGCACTGAGGACAGTGCTGCATCTCAGGAGGAGGCTATGTAACGTCCAGTGATCTGACATGGTTGTTTGAATGTCGTGACACATTTGGCGCGCGGGCCTAGGATGGAGATGGCGTAGTCGCATGTTGGTGAAGATGGCCGGTGTCCCTTCCACTCTCTTCCGCCGATCCCCTCTCCCGCTCCGTATCGTATCGTAACGTTCGTACCGCTTCCCACACTACATCGGCAACCCCCTCGGCCCTTCCCTGCAGTTGCCCCCAGCGCTGCACTCCCCACCGGTTTTCCAGCTGGCATGTTGGCCTCGCCTATCTATCCAGACAGGTCACTCGACGGTTGTAACTCATTCCGTTTGTACTTTTAACTGTCATTATACATCTTTTCAATTCCATTTTCTGTTCATTATATCTTCCGTCCGCTGATCGCTTCTTCTTCCTTTATGTATGGATGAGCATCGTGAACTGCTAACAATCGTATTCAGATCAACACAAGCCGGGATCTCTTTATCGATATTCTGTTACGTGGTCGTGTGCTACCCTTGACGTCTTCGGCCGCTACACAGCGGCCCCAGTGGGATTGCATAAACGGCGGAACCGTATATGCTGTCCTTTGGTATACAATGAAGCCGTCAGCAAATCTATTTATAAACGACATTAAATCCTCCGCAAAGTACAGTCGCGCTGGTGAGCTTATGAACAATTATACGACGGACTCTGCAACACTAGTGCAGCTAGCTACACTGTAGCTGCAGTAAATCATTCCGCTGAAGTGCAGAAGATCTGCCATTTAACTTTCAAAAACTGGACAGCAAATTTTCAACAAAAATGTAGTTTCAGATAAACCCACGAAAACTATGCATAATACCATGGCAAAGCTGTCATTTGATTGCTATTGCGCGCGATGAATTGCAGTTGAATGACAGCCCTGTGGATTTCTTGTCCGCGGACAAGAGATCCGTAACGAAATAGAGACAGAATCTTTGCTTGTGGTGTAACAGGAATGACAGCTCAGTGTAGTTACACTGTTGTGTCCAGCGTCGTGACATATTTTGCTTCGAAGCGAGTTTCGTTGTAGATCTACAACAAAATTGTCTCTCAAGCGTACTTCAAGTATTAGAATCGTTGTAATCGCTTGACACTCGCCGAGTAATATGTTGTTTGTAATACTACATTGATGATGTACCGACCCATTAATCTTTTCTAGTAATCATGTTACGTAGTTGATGTACCTGCAACGTCGTCATACGCTATCCCTCCATGTGGTTTTCTATCACAAATAGTCTTTTTGGCGAATGACTCTTTATCACGACGTTTGCTGGTTTGCTTTATTCCCTCAAAAAGTTCTTGGAAATCCTTCGACCGTCTTAGGTACTACGTTTTTCTGCACAAATGTGCACTCACTGAAAACTTTCGCTTTAATATTTAACGTAGGAACTGGGCCACCGTTACGCTTATGAAAAAACCTACACCGAGACGCCTTCTTTGGTACATTTACACCAGTTTTTACTTTACAATAGAGGTCGGGATGACACAGTATTTGCTGCCGCAGTCCCCCTAGATAGTCTTCAAAGGGGAGCAGAGAAAAGGAGTCAAGGTGTTCGTGGCGTTGTTTGTAGTCACAAACGGGCAAAATTCTTTATAATGTAAAAAGTTTCCGATTTGCATACGGGCTGTTAGATTTTAGGGAACAATATAAGAAACGTCAAAAATGCCATTTTAAAAAGTCACTGAGAACAGCAATGTCGAGGTAAAGCAAAATGGCCTGTATCGTAGCGCTTCCTTGACCCACCTTCGCCCAACTTCACTGATAAAAAATAACCGGCAGGCAAGCATTTAATAAATTTGACCATTCAATTGTGTTTCGCATAAGTAGGGACGATTCTGTCCGGCCGCCCGCCTCTCGACACTGACTATTAGCTTCTTAACGAATCAGCCCAGACTACAGGGTAAGAGAGGGGACATTCCCTTTTTGTGTTCACCGTATAGTGAACCAAAAAGTCCTCATCCGCTTGCTCCTTCTAGTCACTTTCAGGATAATTTGCTTTTGCCTTATATGCTCTAACAAGTTCATCCTGCACCCACCCCTGCTACGCTCTCACATTCTTTACGGCAATTAGTCATAAGACTCAAGAGCCCAAATGACCTCAAGATATTTGCTCTCGCGAACAGGATGTCCTCCGCAAGCATTTATAAGATTCTGGAATATAAAACCAGGCAAGAGCTCTGACGAACTAGACTATTTAGACTGGTTTTCGATATTCCATCGCTATTTCTTTATGCTTCAACATTCTCGTAATTTGTCATCAACCTTTACTTACTCTGTGAAATAACCTTTCCTGTCGTAATTTCCTTCCACTTTTGGCATGATGAAGTTCATTCCATTCGTTTCTTGCTACTGGCGACAACGAACGCTGTGTCAGAGGACACATACCACATATAATACACGAGCAGCTCGCTAAGAGTGCAACAGGCCAGTGGCGGACAGAATGGGATCGAGTGAGATCCTAACCACAACAGTGAGGGTCAAACGCCCACTTGACATGCTTATATACCTCACTTCATAAGGCCTATGACGTACTGATGATCGGTAACGACCGTGAAACAGCTGTCTGCGTCTGGCCTGTTGCACTCTTAGCGAGCTGCTCATGTATTATGTGGCATGTGTCCTCTGATACAGCTTTCGTTGTCGCCAGTAGCAAGCTGGCGGGCGGGCAGAATGGGATCGAGTGAGATCCTAACCACAACAGTGAGGGTCAAACGCCCACTTGACATGCTTATATACCTCACTTCATAAGGCCTACGACGTACTGATGATCGGTATCGGCCGTGAAACAGCTGTCTGCGTCTGGCCTGTTGCACTCTTAGCGAGCTGCTCATGTATTATATGGATAAGTTTATATCGGAGAAGACTTGCACAGCGTCTACCACACTCCCTCCACACCCACTTAGCTCCGATAACGAAGGAATTTCAAGATGGCGCAGTGAATAGCAAACCTAAAAATACCCTACACGCGTGTCACAAATGACCCGATCTCCACAACATGTACCAGACTTCCAGGAGGACAGCTCGAATTCCACAGCAGTGCGTGCCATAAAGGCCACATTAAGATAGGGCCACTGCAGCCGGACTCTCAGTCCAGAAAAGGGTCGACTTTAGACAGAATGGCATTACTGACAAAGACAAGAGAGACTGAGGTGGCCGTTTCTGGCTCATTAACCGTCATCAGCCAGTCATACTCGACCCCGAAGTGTGGAACACCTGGGCTCGGTCTCGCGACCTGTTGGTTAGAAGTCCAACGCCCCTAACTTCTAAGCCACAGGCTCGCTGTCCTGTCGGTTGCGATCGGGTTGGGCTCGAGAGAAAACCCCAGGGCACGAGAGGGGTGAGTTCCGTAACACGCTCGGTGAGCGCCGTTCTACCAGGGATCGACTTATCTCGTCAGTTGGCAACCTCCGAGTCACGACTCTTAGCACATCGTAGTAGATTCGAACGCGTCTGATTTTTCATAGGAAGGATTACGCTGATCTGCCGCGAGGGTGGATTCCTTAGTGTCGGCCTTATTCATTCCTCCTTCCATGCACAAGTCGATTGTCCGAGCTGGTTAACCAGTATGTGATAGGATGATTGGTGACTGAGAATCCTGGAAGGCCTATGTCTAGGGCTTGCCACCTCACGCTTGTACGGCAGTGATTGGGGACTCACACGAACTCAGCACAACCGACTAACGCGCGCCACGAGCCAATCCTCCCTCCGCTTTGGTCCACAGCATATGCAACCCAATGCGTTGAGTTGATCACAAAACGCCTGATACATATCACATAAGCCAGCCGGCATCCTCGTACCAACCGCAAAAACCGGTGTTCACGTGCGTTTGGCGGACAAACCTACATTACTAAGTAGCTGGAGGCCGGTTGATTTTTAGCTTTTTACTCCGCTCAGAGGTGAATACGCTAACTTGAAGTAGATTATTCGAAATTAAGCTTTGTGCGCCAGGTCCGAAAGTTAATGTGACCTCCCCAATATGCACCTACGCGTTCACTTACTCCTGTGAAGCAGGTTATATTGGTGGAACAGCAAGGCGCCTATCCAAGCAGATGCGAGAGCACCATCCTGCCTGGTTATATCAAGGTGAGGAAAAGTCCATTTCTAGCGCCATTGTGGCTCACTTGGTCGACACCGGCCACCAGGCAGACGTCAACCAAGCATTCCGTGTCATCTATAAAGGTCCTGTAAGACTCTCCAAGTCCCTGCGTCAACGGATACTTGCGACAGCGGAGGCGGTGGCCATACGACTAATGAATCCAGTCTTGTGCTTGCGGAAGACCTTAATTAAAGCCCTCCTATTATCCTGGTCAAAGCTGAATCATGAAGCTTCAAACCCGCACCATGACACGTCGCGCCACAGCGACGAAACGTAAGCGCAACTCAATCAGACTGCCCTACCTCCTCCCCTCCCCCTTCCCGTACCACTGACAAAAACCAGACCATAATTGTCCCGTTGTTCCACAAGTCTAAATACACTTACCCCAAGTTATGATCACTATTCATAAGTTGTTTTACTTCTCAAATTTCGCTGCTCTACCTATACCTATATTTATGTACTGACCTGAAGAACAATTGAAACTGTACGTTCGCCCAATTGAACTTCCTCAATGTGTAAGTGGGAACCATCACAGAACTTAATGTGAATACTTCAGCCGTAATTCACCACCTTCAACGGGATAACCGCATGATATTCGTAAATCATCAAGAGGCAATCAGTAGTCTATGCATGTTGTATTATTGTCTGGAGTATGCCGTGGGTGTATTTGGAGCGTCCGTCACACCAGTTTACAACTTCCGGACGCAGGCAACGTCGAAGACGGAGGACAACAGAATATCCAGCATCTAGGACAATCTCTAGGAAAGTGCATTTTCCTACTAATTCGGTTGGGAAAGAAATCGATTGTCGTGAAATGGAAGTCCTTGTGAAACAGTATTTGCGGCTTGTTCCTTCTGTAATTTCGATTAATAGAAACAAGACTTATCGAGACTTTTTGTTAAATTTTGTCAACCTGAATATTCAGTTTTTGCAGTAGGAAGTCCCCTGTCCACAGCCATTTTCTTTAGATGGACTACCAACAGGTCCGAGAACGACTGCAACAATCACGCGCGTCCCGATCATCCGAATCTCCAACAAAGCAATGTCTGATGAACATCTCCCCACCCGTTGCTCACCCTTCGTCTGTGCAAGTGGAATCAACTGATGCGGACGTTCAGGTCGGTACGAACGCCCGTTTGCCAGTGGCTTTCTTACATTTTTATCATAATTGTTCGTAGGAGTGGTTTTCGCGCTCTTGTCTCCTTGCATTTGTTCAGTTTCCTCGTCAATAGTAGTTATTTAGATTTCAGTTATCAGCCAACAACGCCTGTGCTTGCCTTCGCCCGAACTTACTATCTTGCTCTGGGTTTTCTTGACAAAGGTTCCTCCAGATTGGCTGAAACCAATCAGCACTTGGCGTGTCCAGCTGGCTTTTACTCTCATTTTGTGGATTTCACTGGTGCACGTCGGTTTCGGCGCCATATTTTTTGTTCTCGCCTGCATCTACTGGTTATGGGCCTGGGGCACAGAGACTAGAAGGCGTACCCGGAAACCAGATACAATCCAAGCCGGTTGGTATTTCGACACTCGAATGGGCATTTGATCTTATTCAACTTTTCCTCTCCCCCCTCAGAACCACCGGCTGTGATGGCCCCCCTTTGCACCTGCCATGCTTATTTTTGATATTTCTCCTTCTAAGTCTTGGTATCTTTGATTTCATTTTTTTCAACACCAACTATGTGCCACAGCACTCCACCCCATCTACAAAATGATACGCGCACTATCTCTACTGAATATAATTTTCAACGGTCAAATTATGTTCGATCATTGGGCTGCCAGCGCATGTAATTTAAATGTACTCAAAGCAGGTGATAACCGCGACAGGCTAGAATCGCTTGGTAGTTCATGCGCCACATCCAGGTCGGTGCCAACGCCCTTCTGTCACCGGTTTTACAAAAGCATTTCCTCGTAATACCGCTGCAATTTATCCCCGAGACGGCTTTCATTTTCTTCTCTCTTAGCGTTAGCGCAGACGCCTTAGTAGCATTATTCTTTGCGTGCGTGTGTGCCCTCAAAGCAGATTGCGTGGCTGTTGCGCTAGATCGAAACGGGTCCATATTTCCCCCTGTCACATGCATTAGTCGAACTGCGCTGACTACACGTGAGTCCTTATCTGTTGTAGCACATGCATGTGGCACGTGTTGGACGGAGGCTTTACGCCACGCGCGAGCTCGAAGCCAATCAATGCTGCACACCTTCATCGATTGGCCATTGGTAGACACAGCCCAAACCAGAACAAAGGGCCAATGATAGTCGACGGCGGACATACCACAAGGTGCGTCTGAAAAGACGCTGGCGGCGACTACTTGCCGAGCCTCCTGAGCGTTGTTTCGCATCGGTCAGGCCCTGCAAACAATCTCCAACCCAGTCGGCTTAACTCGAACAAACCACTAAAACAAGGAGAATCGACGAGGAGGCGGGGTTTATCCCGATCTCTTGGTTTTCTCACTAGACTATCGACTCTGATTCAAGACTATGGCGACGAGAGATAGTCCAATGGCGAGGCAAATCAATCTAATACCAGCCTGAGGGTTAGTCTGCTATGGCTTCTGACATTATGCGCAATCTGGGATCCTGTAATCAGAGCCCGACCAGCGGGGAATCAGGTCGCATGTGGCACATGCGGACGGACCGTCTGATTTCGCCAGCCACTGCGCTCGCACCCGTTCACAGTCGTTTTGACTTGCCACGGTGAGTTTCGGCCGAGCGAGTGATGTAGGGGGTGTGAAAGCCTACCTCACTGTAAACAACCGCACATGTGAGTGACCTCTGCGCTCACCTCGTGGGATGGTGGTGGGCTTTGCCCCTTGTGGTAGACTTAGGAGCTTGCTTCCCTCGCAGCTGACTTACGTTGAGCGGCATTTCACCATTCGCCCTCCATGTATGTTCTGGGTAGACCTGCTGCAGCAGTTAAAGTGGTCAGACCCTCCGGCAACGTTCCGAGTAGGAGGCGAATATTGACCTCAGTAGGGGGGGGGAGGAGTATTGTATTCTCTACAGGATGGATGAGAAAAAAAGCTGTCAGAGCAGGTTGAAAGTCGGAGTGAGGGCAACGGGTCCGGCGTCCCTCGTTGTCACGAGTGAGAGCATGTCTGTGCCATCGTTGAGGTTGATTGGCCAGACAGTACAGGGCCTCGCTGTGTCAGCGATTGGCTAGACGCAATGACAGCGTCATGGAGAGCTCCACAATGACAGACGAACGGACTGCCGTTGGTGCGTCCGCGCAAGCCTGTGCCAAACAGGCGCAGTGTTACAGCGGACGCCAGGAGCAGGGTCGCTACGGACCTGTTTTCTGGCTAATAGACAGATCAATCTTCCCGGCATTTGGCATGGAGATGCTAGCTTTAATTTCTCAAGTCGCGGGCCGTTTACCGCGTATAGGACAAAGGAACACGTCAGAAGCGCCCATAACCTCTCCACTCTTCCCCCCCCCCCGCCATCAGCGCCAATGGTATCGCCGTCATCATTAACCCTATCACGACAACGAAAACAAAGACTGACGTGACAGTCCTCGCTATCCTCGAACCCACTCAAAATGCATTGTGGTCTGGGCTGCCACCCCGGCCAACTTATTGTCATCATGGCCCTGGCGGCAATAACGCTGTTCCCCGGTAATGACGACAATGATCATCATCACTACGGCCGCCACCTACACACTGGTATTCATCACTGATGGGACATCGAAGCAGTGTCCGGGTGTCCCGGTAAACGTCGATGGAGACATTGCTCATTAGCGCAGAACTGCTAGGTGTGTGCCAATAGCATGGCCTCTACATACCATTGTGGGCTGCACTTCGATTCGCCAAAACGCAACCTGAACTAGGTTAGACTATTTCCACCCATGATTGCTGTGGATGTCGCACTACATGCAGAAAACTTGTCATCTAAGTTACTCAATCCCTAAATACGCCGGTCTCTAGTAGCATAAGATTCGTAAATCGCGTGAGTACCCTTAACTACTACAGAGCAGAGAGGTAGGGCTGGCAGTATTAACCCTCGATCCTTACTGCTGCTGCGTGTTCGCCCATCCGCATCCGGACTAGGCTCAAAGTTTCTACTAGCCCCTGCTGGATCTGGCAAGGGGCTACTGACCCCTCCACTGTTAAAGGATGAAAATCAAAGTGTGCCAAGGGTATGAGCTGTTCGACTTCCGACAAATACTCGTCCTAACACCCACTTCTGCTCAATCATCTGATGGAGTAGATTTTTCAAAACGAGCGAACAGACTACTCCTGTACTAGATTAGGTCATGGTCCGTATAGTCCTGACATGGACCACATTGACAATGTTGCAGTATGGACGAATAAAAGATAGCATGGCAGCTGGTGATGTCCGAATACGTGGCTTCTTGCCTTCGCTACTGTGACATACCTATTTTCTTCACTTACGTGGACATGTTACATTTGGGTAAAGGTTAGGGCTAAGGTTGGGCTAAAGATTAGGTTTTGGGTCTACCCACCGCAAGTCGACTTACCCAAATCGGCCATAACTAACCAATAACCGCGGATTACCCGTTTTCGCCCATTTAGCCGCCCTGTGAATTTCGTCGATGTTTTCAGCAGATCTATTTGGGTACCGCCCCCATCTGCCCAACTCATAAAAACCCCACCAATTTCCTCGTTTTACCGGGGTACATGTGCTCCATTTTCTCAGCGGCGCAACGTCTCCAATCTCCCCAGACGGACAAACTAAACGGGTCTTAAAATGAATACCTAAGCGACTATGGTCATCTTGGATGTCGCGGTCGAAAATGCTTGTTTGGTCATGGTAGACGGCGAAAACGCTGGGCACGTAGACCGTTTTTGCTACCGTTGATCAAAGTGTCAAGCGGATAAGGAAAGGATAAAACTGGCCACTGGAACCAATGCCGCAGTTGACGTAGGGCAAGTTAGAAAGATGAGCTACGAGTCTAAACGGATGAGACAGCCCGTGTGTTCAGGAGAAATACTCTACATGGAAGTGGACAATTCATGGTGCATGCGCCCAATTCACCGAACTGATCTCTTCGATCGTGCGCTTCCAACGACGGGCACGCCGTCGAACATGGACACAATCGGTCGACTGTAAATCCCGGACTCGTGATGCAACAACCCAGATGAGAAGTCGTCAGGGGTTTCATCTCGACCAGTCTGCGTCGCAGTGTTCAGCTTGAAGACCTGGCCACGCGGTATGGAGGGTTGGATGTAATGAAAGACATTCTTCATGGAGCCGCTGCACCTGTGCGCAGAACCTTCAGTTCTATTAGCCACTACCTCAGCATCCAACTGCGGTCGTTTTTGTCTTGACGTCAGAGCATGGGAGAGGCGGATGCTGCACGCAAGTCTGTAAAGCTATAATCGCGTAGGATGCCGATACTGGGCCCACCCCGTTGGCCATTCTGAGCGTCTCAATGAACAGTAATTGTCCTCCCTCACAGCAGACTGCGAAATACATACGCTAGAGCAAAAGAGGAATCGGGTTGGATCAGAGCCCACATAGGCCCATAATTGCTATCGTACGTGTGTGGTGACACATCTTGAAAGTAGGCCTTTAAGCCGCACCAGTCATTGCGTCAAACCCAGTCACTGGTTATTTGGCAGGCTCGGGAAATCGACTGACGCGAGAGAGGGTTAAGCCGACACTGGGCATCTACCCTCACAGCGCGTTGCGCACTGTAGTATATCCGACGCACTGGGATCCATCACAACTAGAACGATTGGCAGCTGGCGCGATGACTCAGTCCTCCTGAGAATTGCAACGACTCCTTTCCAATGTTATCGCTGCTGCGCTCTCACACGTGAGATCTGAGTCGCCCCTACGGCGCGAGGATCGGGTTATGTGTGTGGCGCGCGTAGGACTACCTAGTCCTGACAATCTCTCGTATTGACATTGTCCCGGCATTGCGGCAAGGCAGTGGGGACGGTTAGGTAGATGCTGCGCCGGTCGGACCCACAGTAAAGTCGCGCACACTGCGTGGGGTCCGCGGTGATGTCGTCGTCCACAACGGTCGAACCGTCGTCCCTCACAAAGGAAAGTCACGACTTATGTTATGGAGAGTGCAAGCAGCGTAGAGCCACGGCCGAAGGCGCTGAACAGCGGACCAAGTCGGCGGAGTGAGATACGCCTGAAGTTAGACGCCCAACCGGCGTGCACTGCAGCGCCGAGCACGTGTGCGGCCCAATCAACAGCATGACGAATATTCCCGACGTCTCCACCGGGGGGCTATCGCGCACACGCCATTGGACGGAGTGTTCTAGAACGCACAGGAGCCACCATAACTAGTGCATATTTCTTACGAGTTGTAACCCCCCTCGAGTCCGCAAGTCTCCAATAAAGTGCTTGTCCTCCGAACCGCTTCTCTTCCTGTCCTACCTTCTCCCGGATCACAACAACTTAAGTATGCGAACGCAGTTTCTTACCGAGGATTTGGGCAATACAGAATACACATCAGAGGTCAATCGGAGGAAAAGAACTGCATTTTATGCTCAAAATTGGAGGAAATGCATTGAGATAAAATAAGACGGGATTGGGTACGGGCGAGGCTACAACCGCGCACACATGCAA